AAAAAATTCACAATTTCATACCACTATTGAGACTTAAGAAACATTTGAAAATTTGCATTCAAATGCAAAGTGTCCAGAAAAAAAGTTTGCAACAAATTATTTCATTTTGTTCCCGAAACCATTTGAGTACCTTCAGGAATCTTCTTCATGACCAACAGCTTAAAGAAAAGGAATACTGACACATCTGGAATATTTGGCTGATGATATTGAAACTTCTGTAACATCTTAACAGACATCTGCTAAAGGTTTCAGCACATTGTATATTTTACCCCAGTAATAAAGACATTTTAGTAGAACTTACACTATTTATTCAATTTGTGTAATTTTGTTTTGAGATTTAAGTATGCATGTAAGTGTTTGACTATAAATTCCCTTGATGCAGCGAGCTACACATATTGAGACTGGCTACAGGTGGCTATGGCAGATATCTTGAGATACAGGATACCCACTCATCATGGCCTGGGTGTGCAATACAAGGCTAATAAATACACAGACATCTGTGTTGGCTAGCATCACATCCGGAATATCTGTGTTGTGTAATGAGTGCTTGGCGTAAGTGTCCCAGATAAGACGAACGTTTGCAGAAGGAGTTGCAGTGTCAGGAGGCCACCAGTACTGTAATTGCTGCCATTCTGGAGGTTGTAGTCACGGTGAAGATAGCATGAGGGGAAAGACAATATTAAATCTGATTTCATTACATAGCTTAAAAGTCCCATCCTCTTCTGAATAAATCACTTTGACAGGTGTAATCTACCTTACACCAACTGTCTTCAGGGTAAGTAAAAGTTCCTTGAGGACTTCTCCATATGTACCAGTTGGAGACCAGGTAGAGTGTTCATGAATGTCTCACCCTCTGTAACCCAAGTCTGTTACAATCTTGTCATTATTGGAAACCTGGCAACTCACTTTAATGTTAACATGTAATCAGTTATCATATTTCAATATTTTTACATAAATAATGAACAATGTTTATAAGTACAATTAGTGGTATCTGTTTGAGTGGCATTTATAATTGTACAAATTAAAGTTGACCTTCAGTAGTCAAGTCTGAAGTGGCCAAGTTTTAGATAAAGGAACAAATAAATTGTAGACAGTATATGGATGCCTGACTTTACTGACAATCAGGGAGGGGGGCTGACCTGCAATTCTCACCTTCATCACAAGCACAGATCTGCCAGGACTGCTTCACATGCAACTTACAAATATCAATATAGGTAACCATACACACATATATTTGGGTATTCATGTCTGGAGACTCAGAGTTGAGTACTTGTCTAAATATTAAAATTGTCATAATTAACTAATTACTTGCATTCATACTCCAGCTCCATGATCAATAGCACTTCACCTTACAAACCTTCCCTGTCTCAAGTTGTTAACTGTAATGGGTAATTATCTATATTTTCATAGACAATCAATGCCGTCCATGACAAGCCACTGATCTGTGAGGCATGAGGAGAATGAACTGAGAAGTCACTGGAGTCCCTAAAGAGTAATTAGAACTAGAAGTACATAAACATCTCATTTATTGGAAAAAGAATTTTCTATTAACTTAGCTTTGCACCTCACATATTTCTGTCTGATATGGATTACAATGTGTTTTTAGTCAAACTGATAAACCTTGTAACATCATCATTCAGGCCACCATGAAGTAATTCCACAGGTCACACTTAAACATTTTCAAACCTAAATATAATGAAACCTAGGCTAGTGAAACAGTATTCTTCACACTCATTAGTAATTATTGATCATAAACTTCAACATAATGTTACTTTTTTTATTGGTTAGTACATACCACATATTTTCAACAGTTTAACACATTTTATAAACATATAGCTTGTACAGTGTGAAATATACAACATGATTGGTCAAGAGTACACCAATAAACAATTGTATCATAAAGACAACAATAAATATGTGAGTGAGTTTAGCTTGATGTTGCTTTTAGCAATATTCCAGCCATATCACGGCAGGGGACACCAGAAATGGGCTTTACACATTGTACCCATCAATACATATATGAATATTTACAATAAGTGGCGCGTGGTCCTGTGCTCAAAGCTCAGGTCACAAATCGGTGAAGTTAAGCACCGTCAAGCTCGGAGAGTCCTTGGATGGGTGACCGTGCTTGGCAGCTTGGCTCCTGAGAGTTTCTAGGACTTCAGTCCTGCCCCACAACGAAGCACATGTGACACATGTGGTCTCACCTTAGGCAAGTGAGTTTGATCAACATTTTTCACCCAGCAGGAAAACGGGTACCCGGTGGGATAAGTCATGTTACTATAACCTTCTAGCGCCTAACAGGCAGCTTGGGTTATCCGGGGTAATAATATGTGTGCTGTAGCGCCTTGAGCGAGCATTGAATGCATGGATATAGGCGCGGTTACAAATACCCACTATTATTTAAGTACAACATCTACAAATGTTTGTCAAAGAATATTAACCATGTTCCTGTCATTGCTGTTTAATAGATCATGCTTGATTAAACACTCACATCTTCCCCACGCTCATCAGTATGCAACCATATCTTTCCTTTTTACATCTTGCTTCATTACGCTTAATTGCTAACCTGGACCTTCTCTGTGCCTGGAGCTATTATAATTTGCCGCATAATACACATGGCCTTCACAATGTAGCAAGCAGTTCCCCCAATCAATATACATGCCAAGAATTGAAAATACTGAACTTGTGGGTTGGAACAGCACCAACTAGGCGTCAACCATGTCACAGGATGATGAAAAGAATTTGTTCTCGAAAAGTCGACCAACTTCAATAATTGATTATAGAGTTATGTTTCAGTTTGTGGTTGCTACAACTCTCCCTACTCAAAGATTTAAACAATACCAGCTTTTCAGTTGCTGCTTTCATTATAACATAATTGACATTTTACCTTCTAGAAGTCAGGGTCTTGCTTCCCTGTTTCACATGGCTGTGTCGATATTAGGTAACATGGCTTTTCTATGAAGGTGGTACTTAAACAATGCAGCCATCAACATAAACATGCCCAGTTGGGCTTTTTGTAAATAGTAAATTAGGTTGCTTTTAAAGGAGACGTTATTATAGCATGGAAGATGATGTTTGGAACGGGTGGAGCGATGGAGTGTGTAGCTTGATGTGGCATGTTTATGGCGATTGGCTGATATACAAAGCCCTGAGACAAAGAGAAACTGTTACACTGCTTTAATGGACTGGTTTCCTTTGTAGGCACGTTATGGATATATTTCTGTTTGTTCTTGAAAACTGAAATACAATCCTCCGATGTCAGTGAAGCATGCGATGTAACTGTGAGAGTGAAATCCCAGTGTGGAGATGTTGTAACATTCTACACAACAAACGATAGGCTGTGATTGCTTAATGAGGTAGTAAACGAAGTAATGTATGCACGAGTGAACACAGAAAAATCCCCATGAATCAAATAAGTTTGATGATGAAACTGCTATATTCTTCATGAGCATCCATTCATTATAGTGAACTGAAAAACTTAAGTTTTTAATCAAGGGCTTTTGGAGTACACAAATTCAAATTGTTTTGATATTTCACCCAAAGCAATACCACTCAAGCACACATATTAACAAACATATAGAGTATCCGCAACTTTAACTTGCTTTAAAGGAGAAGGGTGTCACTCATAACATGGGTCTAGTAATTCAACCAAAACTTCCTCGTAACTGAGTCAACATATGTTTAATAAACTGAATATGATGCTGCACATTTTTTTCTGAAAACTTAAGACCTAGCTTTACGAAAGCTCTCCTCATAAGTGTTAAGATGATCGTAAATGCCATACATTAACATTAATTTACGACTATCTTAGCTCTAAGAAAGCTTCAAACATCTAGGCCCAGTTTCATATTATGAAAAACCTGGATCATCATTCTGTACGAACGTGTATAAATGCCCCCATTTTCATGAAAGTACATATTTCCAATATCTGTACAGTGACGAAGGCTATTGTCCTTAACAGGCTGCTGTCTAAGGACAGCTATTATTTGTTGACACAGACAGCCATAAATAACCTATGAAGTACACCTGCATCTGTTCAGGTGGAATGGACATTCTGGTGAGTGACATTGACAAGAATATACAGCTCCTTCAGAGTAATTAACAAGTGGAAATCTACATGTGACCGGACAGGTGCATCTCGTGATCAATACAGGTTAACAGTAGTCAATGGTCTGATTAATGGGGAGGAACAGCAGTAGTAACCACAGGAGATGACCTCACTTCCTCAAGTGACAGTCAGAGCAATTCTTTTTACAAATTAAATGTAAAACTGACACTAGTAACAAATTTAAAACTGATACCAGTGACAGTGGTAGATGAATCCTTTCCCCGTCACAGTGTTAGACAGCCTCAGACTACAGTATAAAGTGTGAGGACAAAATCTGAAATACGTAGAAGCAGATCTCATTTTCAGAACAGGCAAAGTAGTGATGAAAACTGACTGTTTGTCTTCTCCATGTAGATCATACACTGCATTGTGTCTGTGATTCTGAAGCCATATATACACAGACATTATCTACACAGACATTACGGGACAGATGGGACTCCGGAATGTATATCTCAAGAAGCCACTTGTTTGATTCACTGGATATGCTAGATATAAACACTTGTCATCACCACATGCTGTTGGTTGTTTAACACCATACTTGTCAATAATTCAGATATTTTATACATAATATATAACAACAAGTCTTTGAACGACATTTAGAAGTGATACACATAAAGGTGATGAATTAATAGATGTCAACTTCTTTTCTTTGAATGGACGCTGAAATGTGAATGGACACTCAAAATAAAGAAGTTGACATCCATAAATTGTCGCCTTTATATAACAATGGTCTGTAAATGATTAAGTCTGGACTAGACAATCCTGTGACTGACATTACAAGCATTGACCTGCTAAGCTGGGACACAATAAGCAAGTGATGTGGCTGGACCTCCAGTGTGATATGGACATCTGTATGTATGAAATGTACATGTAATCTACATCATCCTACCTGTCAGCTGGGTTTCATGCTTCAACCTGCTGCAGACAAGGAGGACCTGACTCCGATACACTCTCAGATCACAACATATTCTCCATCTGTCCTTAACAGATTCATAAACTTATCGACCTTATGTGACCAAGGTCTCCCACACAAACCCTATTGAAAACAAAATACCCGACCCCACAAACATTTCCGCAAATGTGCTAAATTAACCACTATCAATACTTAAATGGATGACATTAACCAGTTTTGCTACATCTCACGTTTTATGACAAAACCTGCTATCAATCCAACCATCCATGCATGGGCTGCTATAAACGTACTTGTTCAGATGGCCCTACCTTTCTACACATCGCACATTAGGCTTTTCATTACACACGGACCTTTCATCTTTTAACAATCTACCGGAACTGTTTCAATGAAATACAGGCTTTGACATAAAATCATAATATTAAAAGCATAGAGCTATAATTAATATCATAAAAAAGTAGGGTACAGAGGGTTTGGCTTTGAGGTTAAGACAGCGTATATCGCTGTGTATAACATATATTTCAAGGTGTGCTGGATACATTAACTGATCTGAAAGTGATGAAGGGATATTCTCTTTCACAACATCCTGGTTTGTCTTTGTGACAGCTGGATATCAACAACATCTAATAGATGACGCAAAGACTTCGTCAAACTGTAAACACACTATGTTCACACGGAAACCAGGAACAGAATATCACTGATATATCTCCGGGATCAAACAGATTGGGAGGATTGTGACATTTGGGTTGTACAGGTCCTGTTTAATACCTCCTATCTTTTTTGTGTTGTTTAATCTCTTTTTTAAAACTGAAATTGAGGATTTATTTGACAATCTTAAAGCCCTGATCAATTTTAGATAAAACATTTTTCTGGAAATTCCAACTGTGTGAACAAAGGACCATAGTTATTGCTAGGTCACATTTCTATGTGATTATAATAATTTTATTGTAAAGTATGTGTGTCATACTGTTTTTACTGAAATGAGCGTCTTGAATTTCTCCAACGAGAGAGAGACTGTAATACCGGTACATGAATTCTCACACAAGTTTTGTAACATCAGTATCAGGCGCATGTTTTATTTCACAATATTTCTTAATCTTTTTGGAAAAAATGTACTGATCATGATTGTTGTCCTGGAAAGACCACAATTGTCAATTGACGGCAACAAGCTTCAGCTGTGACGTTTCAAGTGTAATGTCATTCCACACTGACATCATGTTAAAACCTGAACTTTATGGGCCAAATCATTTTCACTTGTTTTAGAGATGTCATGACCAATGAGAATTCAATATTAAACCAATAAAATAATATGTTAATATTTGTCTCTTAAAAACTCTGAAGAAGTAAAGGTTCAAAGAAGCTGCCATTAAATGGTCAACATAAATCATTCATAGTAATTATACATATTTTGTGCCAAAATTTGTATGGCCTGAAAAAATATATGAAAGACATGATGTAATTATAACTACATGACATCCAATTTTCACTCATTCAAGATCATATGAAATGTCATGATAAAACTACTGAAACTGACCACTCTACCCCTGAACCATTCTACTGCCAGAGTCAATCCCATTACAAGACATTCACCAGGTTCCTCACCATTACCATTTACCAAAGTGTGGCAGTGTTCTGCTTCCAACAGAAAGGTTCCAACACACTGAGATCCATCACATGTTAAATGGTTGAATGTCTGAGATGAATTAAAACTACCACTTGACTCCTAAACGGACCTAATGTCTTCTATTGATGACAGTAGTTTTTTAATTGATACAGACAATTATATATTGATCTCTGACCAGAATTAGCTGCAGGCATCCAGGGATTGCTCAAGTGGCCATCATGCTTTCCCCAACTTGTTACACATTAGGCCATTCAGGTGGTCAGCAGAGTGATTGACAAGTGTTGTTAATGTCACTTTCACATAAAGGTCAGGGCAGAGAAACTAATTGACCTAACTCAAAATCTTTTCAAAAACAAAGAATGAATTACCTCCCATAACAGCGAAGACAATGTTGGAGACAATTGACGACGTTCTGTCACAATGATTCGGTCGTGTCGACTAGTACATTTACGTCGTCACATGCTACAATCGAACCATTCCGCTGAACCGATCAATACCTGACTGGCACCAAGCGAAGTATACATCTACCAGGTAAAATCTATACCGACCGAAACCAGTCAACCAATACAGGAAAATATAATCTGTTATTTATTTGCACAGACTTGAAGAGATTCATAACGGATTGAAGTTACCAATGGTCAAGAGCCTTTATATACAAACTCCGTCCCAGATGTGGAGATGATGCTCCAGGCTACAGACATCATTGCCATGGTTATTGGGTCCCAACAATCACTTCATTGTTGTGGGAATAAGTTAAAGTCACGCATGACCAGGTCCTTGAGATAACTCTAATGAAAAGATTATAGGGCAGCGTAAAGATGTCCAATAGAGACTGGTATCGGGGTCGTGATCTATGTATCGTTCTTGGGATGATGTGTATAGCAGAATGTACAGATAAGAAGCTAATTACCTGGGGCTGATGTATGAAGTCTGACTGAAGGCTGGCAGGTAGATAGTATCAGTCCACAGACAACCACCGGCATATCTGCTACAGTATACCACAGCAGCAATTTATTACTTGATAGCTATTTTGAGATCATCAAAATGTGAGTTTAATGTAAAAGATTTTCACAGGTCTGTGAACTACTCTCATACTTCTACATGATGTTTATCAGATGTGGAAGTCTCTCGTCAATCTGGGGATTCAGATTTGGGTAGCATGGATTTTCTTCCCCGGAGGAAGTAACAGAAGCCGATTATTGAGAAAGTATAGGCTTTAGGTCTGATTTGCTACAAAAAATGTGCACTATTAAAAATATGCTAAGACAAACGTCTGCTGATCGCTTTATCATTATGCATGACACATTGGCTTTTCCTGTTGATTTGTCTGTCATCTGTAATGTATAATGGATACATCATTATCTGACGTGATTGTGTCGGGTGATTAAAGATATTATGAAGTGTTTTTTACATTGTTAAATTTAAATAAAAATTTAAAATATTTCATCTTTACATTAATTTTTTAAGCACTGTTTATAATTTTTAAGGATGTTTGAAATATTCATAAATTCACATCATCCAGTGATCACATTTCACATTTATGTGCGCACCTCATTCTGTACTGTCACACATGCGATGCAACATATAGATTGGATAATGGTTTCTATGTGCTACTTAAAGCTTTATATAATGGATAGATATTCATGTTGCTATCCATGCTCATGAATTCTACTTTTACAGATACAGAGGCTAGGAGTGTTTCACACATTGCTGTGGAACGGATACTGACATTCAAGTTGTTTATTTTTCAAATGGGTTTCAACAGTGACCGTATAATAAGATTATTTCATATGGTCTGTGATTTCAAATACAAACGGGGCAGTGGGGTAGCCTAGTGGTTAAAGCATTCGCTCATCATGCCGAAGGTTCGATTACCCACATGGGTACAATGTGTGAAGCCATTTCTGGTGTCCCCCACCGTGATATTGCTGGAATATTGCTAAAAGTGGCGTAAAACCACACTCACTCACTCAAATGCAAACAGTTTTAAACAGATTGCAATTCTTATCTTGAGTCTTGAAAAGTATCACAAAAACAGCCAACTGGCCAGTTATTAGAGAATATCTCTTCAAACGTTTACCATAGTAATATTTGTGCCACCTGCAGCTGTATACAACAAAATATTCACTGACCAAAGCAGCAACATATAATACCATCAAACCTGCAGCTGTATACAACAAACTATTCACTGACCAAAGCAGCAACATATAATACCATCAAACCTGCAGCTGTATACAACAAAATATTCACAGACCAAAGCAGCAACATATAATACCATCAAACCTGCAGCTGTATACAACAAAATATTTACTGACCAAAGCAGCAACATATAATACCATCAAACCTGCAGCTGTATACAACAAAATATTCCCAGACCAAAGCAGCAACATATAATACCATCAAACCTGCAGCTGTATACAACAAAATATTCACTGACCAAAGCAGCAACATATAATACCATCAAACCTGCAGCTGTATACAACAAACTATTCCCAGACCAAAGCAGCAACATATAATACCATCAAACCTGCAGCTGTATACAACAAAATATTCACTGACCAAAGCAGCAACATATAATACCATCAAACCTGCAGCTGTATACAACAAAATATTCACTGACCAAAGCAGCAACATATAATACCATCAAACCTGCAGCTGTATACAACAAAATATTCACTGACCAAAGCAGCAACATATAATACCATCAAACCTGCAGCTGTATACAACAAAATATTCACTGACCAAAGCAGCAACATATAATACCATCAAACCTGCAGCTGTATACAACAAAATATTCACTGACCAAAGCAGCAACATATAATACCATCAAACCTGCAGCTGTATACAACAAAATATTCACTGACCAAAGCAGCAACATATAATACCATCAAACCTGCAGCTGTATACAACAAAATATTCACTGACCAAAGCAGCAACATATAATACCATCAAACCTGCAGCTGTATACAAAATATTCACTGACCAAAGCAGCAACAAACTATTCACTGACCAAAGCAGCAACATATAATACCATCAAACCTGCAGCTGTATACAACAAAATATTCACTGACCAAAGCAGCAACATATAATACCATCAAACCTGCAGCTGTATACAACAAAATATTCACTGACCAAAGCAGCAACATATAATACCATCAAACCTGCAGCTGTATACAACAAAATATTCCCTGACCAAAGCAGCAACATATAATACCATCAAACCTGCAGCTGTATACAACAAAATATTCACTGACCAAAGCAGCAACATATAATACCATCAAACCTGCAGCTGTATACAACAAAATATTCACTGACCAAAGCAGCAACATATTATACCATCAAACCTGCAGCTGTATACAACAAAATATTCCCTGACCAAAGCAGCAACATATAATACCATCAAACCCATAACTGTTGGCCTCTTCCCTTCCAACTGGGAAAGTTTAACTGATCAGGAGTATCAGATTACAAAATTACATTTCCAGGAGAGCAAATTATTCAAATGACTGAGTACATGTAAAACCACAATCCCCAACCTCGTTAAACTCCTCCAATCACATGTGTGCATTTATTCCAGCATCTTGGCCACTTCCAGATTGCGATCAGT